TCACCCCAAGCAGCTGCAGCACTGCTGGAAGCGCTGCACTCAGTGCCAGCTGTGGCTCTGGGGACAGCAGAGGGGCAGGAAGCAGCCGTGTCACACTGCAGCCCACAGTAACGCCCAGCACCCACACAGCCCAGCTCAGTTCTTTCCACGAAGGCAGGCACAAAGGCTCACAGGGCGCACGCACAGCACACACGCAGCCTTACTGGTCTGGATGTTGGTGTCGAAGACGGTTCCGTCCTGCAGCTTCCCGGTGTACCAGCAGTGCACGGTGTCTCCTTTCTTTGGGAAGTTGGTTTTGTCACCCTTCTTTAAGATGGATTTCACATACTTCGGCGGCCCCTGATCGCAGAACGGTTCCGATGGCAGCGCTCCGCCTCCCCCCCCTCGCCCGCCCCCCATTTGCGGGCACGGCGTGCGGCTCCCCGGCCGCGGCCTCACCGACCTCCTCCGCGGGCTCCTCGGCCTTCGCCGCTTTCTCCTTCTCCTTCTCCGCCTTGCCGGGCTTCGCTTTCTCCGCCGCCGGCTCGGCTCCGTCCGTGCCCTTGAAGCGCTGAGAGCCGCGGGGCCGCAGCTCCGTCACGGCCCGCCCCGCACCCGGCGCCCCGCACCCGGCGCCCCGCACCCGGCGCCCCGCACCCGGCGCCCCGCACCCGGCGCCCCGCACCCGGCGCCCCGCACCCGGCGCCCCGCACCCGGCGCCCCGCACCCGGCGCCCCGCACCCGGCGCCCGCCCGTACCTGCGTGAGGAACAGCTGCGTGTAGGCCGCGATCAGCTGCTCCTTGTTGGCCGTCTTGGCCACGTTCTTCACCTGCCCCAGCAGGCGGTGCTCGGCCAGGAACTGCAAGGACAGAGCCGGGCTGAGCGGGGCCGGCCTGAGCGGGGCGGCTGGGGGCCGGGCGCCGCGCCGTGCCGTACCGCCTGCGCCGCGTGTTCCTGCAGGAACTTGATGATGTCCTTCTTGGGCAGCGCCTCGCTCCGCAGCTCCTCCGCGCTCCAGGGCTGCGCGGGCGCCGTGGCCGCCGCCATCTTCCCGCCGCCCCGCTCCTCCTCCCGCAGCGCAGCGTCCGCCCCGCCCCGCGCGGGCTCGCGATGAGCGGCGGCCGGCAGCGCACGCTGCTCGAGGCGTGGCGGCGGGCCGCGGGCCCCGCGTTACAGGCCGGGCGGGACGCCGCTGTTAACAACGACAACAACGACGATGACGACGAGCTGCTGGCGGCCGCGGCCGCGGAGCTGGACCCGAACCCGAGCCCGGGCCCCGAAGCGGCGGCCGGCGGCTTCTGCTCGGCTGCGGGCGCGCTGTGGATCTACCCGAGCAACCGGCCGGAGCGCTCCTACCAGCTGCGCATGGCCCGCGCCGCGCTGCTCGCCAACACGCTGCTGTGCCTGCCCACCGGGCTGGGAAAGACCTTCGTGGCCGCCGTCGTCATGTATAACTTCTACCGCTGGTTCCCGTCCGGTAAAGTGCTCTTCCTCGCGCCCACCAAGGCGCTGGTGGCTCAGCAAATGGAGGCGTGCGCTCAGCTGATGGGCATCCCCGGGCGGGACATGGCCGAGATGACCGGTAGGGCGGCGCCGCAGGGCGGGTCGTGGCTGAAGGGAGCCGGGGGCAACGGGGCCGGAGCGCGGGCGGCCGTGCGGGGAGCCGCTCCGCCCCGGGGCCTCGGCTGCAGCGCGGGGCTGCGGGCGGGTGGGAGCCGCTGGCAGAGCGCGGAGGAGGGAGCGGAGATTTGGGGGACGCCTGGAGCGCCTCCCGACGGGACGGGCTGAGAGCCCCTGGGCCGTGCGGGCGGAGGAGAGAAGGCTGAGGGGATCCGAGCGGTGCCGAGCCGCGTCTGTAGGATGGGGTCGGGGCCGGGCTCTGCTCCGTGGTGCCCAGCGCCGGGACGAGGAGCGGCGGGCACGGGCTGGAGCCGGGGAGATCCGTGCGGCCGTGAGAGTGGCACCGAGCCCAGGGAGGTGAGGGGGTCTCCTCTGCACCGACCCAAAGCCGCCTGCGTGCTCTGGGTGCAGCTGCTCGGGGAACTGCCTTCACGTGGCGTTGGGCTGGAGGAGCTCCAGAGCTCCCATCCGACTCCATCAGGTCAGATTCCATCTTTCCCACCCCTAACCGCTCCCCGTTTCCAGGTGGGACGCAGGCCCTGAGCCGCAGGGAGCTGTGGGCCGGCAGGAGGGTTTTCTTCCTGACCCCGCAGATCATGGTGAACGACCTCAGCCGAGGAACGTGCCCTGCTGTGGAAATCAAATGCTTGGTCGTTGACGAAGCCCACAAAGCTCTGGGGAACCATGCCTACTGCCAGGTAACGCTGCGGGCCCAGCCCTGCGCTTGGGTTGCAGTTACACCAACATCCCTTCTGTCCTCCATAGCAGTTTGCAGTTGTATGGAGATCTTTTAGTTCCTTTGTTTGTCCGCTCTCTGCCCGTTGCTCAATCAGTACGGAGTTGGTCTTAAGTATAATTTGTGATAAGGTGATTCCTTGGTGCTGCTTTGCTGTCCTTGAGCAGATCTGAGATGGGGAGGGTTCAGGATTTTGCTTATTAGCAAAGAGTTTGTCGTGTTATCTCATCCTAACCTCCGTGGATCAGTGAGTGAAGGCAAAGCTGCTGCTCTGTAAGCTGGAGAAGCTGACCGTGTGTCTGTGAGCAGTGCGTGGCTGTTTGCTGTGTCCCTGTAGAGGAAAGGAGGTGGCTTTGGTGCCTGTTTGACGTGCTGTGCTGGAGGACAGATGTTAGCTTGATAACTGAGAGCAGTGCATGCTGCTTTGCCTCTGCTGCAGTTTTCTTCTTCTGTTGCCCTTTTACTTTTCAGAGCTATAGAAGTTAAGTGTCAAAGACTTGGAGCTGATCGGTTATCTGATTTCCAAGTAACACATAAAACCTTTCCTGAAGACATGTTGCTGTTTGACACACTGCTGTGTCACAGAGCCAAAGCATTCCCCACCTTCTGTCTCCTGCCCATCCCCTGTGTGGGTGCTGATGTGGACCCTTCCTGTCTGCAGGTCGTGAAGGAGCTGAGCAGATACACCAAGCAGTTCCGAGTTTTGGCCCTGAGTGCAACGCCAGGCAGTGACACCAAGGTGAGGGAGCTGGAGCTGAACGGGCTCTGCTTGGCAGCACATGTGGGATATTGAAGTCAGGGCAGTTGTAAATCAAAGCTGAATCGCTTCACCATCCATTGGTTCTTCAGCATTTATCTTGGTCATGTAGACTCTGAATTAATTACTGCTGTAGGCTCTGTTCATTGTTTCCTGCCCTTCCTCAGAGGAAACGTTATCTTCTGTTCTTTGAGAATGCAAACCTACCAGAGCCAAAGAAAACATACAGCTCATGCAGAATGTTTCTTGTATTCCCCTCAGCATTGTCTGCTGTGTGAAAGCAAGTTGGGCTGAGGTTTGCACCAAAGGCAGATGGACATCCAAACCCACTGAAAGGGAAAGCTCTGCCATTTAATTACCACGTGGGGCTGTGGGAACCTTCCACCTCATCTGTGCTGCGGGTCTGCGATCCACCGCCTCCCTGGGGTACCCAATCCTAAGGGAGGGCTCTGGCACTCCAGCCCTCGTGCTGCTGCAGTGTTTGTTAATATACTGTTTAAAATCTTCAAGTTGAAGGTTTTTACATTTCAGTTTTTGCATAGAATGTTTTCCTTGATGTGCCGTTCAAAGCTGTTTGAAAGTAGTTATTTTCATGACGTGTTGACTTGCATGGTTGGGATATTAACACAAACACGTGCTCTTTTGTTTGGTGGCTTTTCCCACAGGCTGTGCAGCAAGTTGTTTCCAACTTACTCATTGCTCAGATAGAGCTGTGTACTGAAGATTCTCCAGAAATTCAGCCTTATTCTCATGAGCGGCAAGTGGAAAAAATCGTCGTTCCTCTTGGTGAAGAGCTGGGTGGGATTCAGAGAGCTTACATCCATGTGAGTCCTTTCCTTTCCTTACTGTTAAATGGGGCTGTCACCATGTGTATACTTCATAGGACCACAGAGTGGCCTGGGTTGCACAGGAGCACAGTGCTCATCCAGCTCCAAGCCCTGCTGTGTGCAGGTCGCCAACCAGCAGCCCAGGCTGCCCAGAGCCACATCCAGCCTGGCCTTGAATGCCTGCAGGGATGGGGCATCCACAGCCTCCTTGGCAACCTGTGCCAGTGCCTCACCACCCTCTGGCTGAAAAACTTCCTCCTCATATCCAACCCAAACCTCCCCTGTCTCACTTTAAAACCATTCCCCTTGTCCCATCACCATCCACCCTCACACACAGCCGTTCCCCTCCTGTTTATCCGCTCCCTTCCAGCACTGGAAGGCCACCATGAGGTCTCTCCACAACCTTCTCTTCTTCAATCTCAAAGTAGCTTCTCCAAGGTACTTCTATGTGTGTGCCTTCCTACTTTAACATCTCCATCTAGAACAGCAATAACTTACAATACTTTGCTCCCCGGTTCATTTTGTGCTGTCAACTACAAGAGCTGCTATTTTGCTCTGCACCAGTGTTACCCTTCAGGAGCTGCAGTGGAGAGCTTAATTCGTTGTCTCCTTGCAGAACAACATCTGAGCTGAGGGCCTCTAGTTGAGGTGGAATGTGGTGGTGCTGGGAGGTTTTGTGTTGTCCTGGTTGTGCCCAGCTTTCTGCAGAGCTCAAACATTTTCTCTGAGGCTGTTCTTGAGGGCTTTAGCTCATCTGTGCGTTCAGTTCTCCATTTTTGGAGAGGCTGAGGCAGTTGATAGGAGCTGCTTGAATGGGAAGGTAGGACGTCTGCTGTGCTCTACACTACAGAGTGCTATTTGAGCACTGCTAGCACTATTTGAGAGCTGCTCAAATCTTCTGGCTCTTACAGTGACAGTCTCAAATGCAGGCCTCAAGCCTCTTGCAGCATCAGAGCAGCACCTTCTGCTGCTTCCATTCAGAGGAAACGCAGCAGCAAAGAGACCCTGACACACTGAGTTCTGAAATCAGTGCTGCTGAAGGCAAGAATTTGTGTGTCACCAAAATGAAACCCAAGGATGCTCTGCGCACAATAAAATCATCACCTTTACTTTGAGAATCGGTAACAGTAAACAAGACAACACAGAAGTAAAAACAAAGGGCAGCGTAAAACAGCGCAGCTTGCCGATGCTTGCACTTGGATGCACACAGTAAGCAAGGCCCTGGGCGTCACAAAGCTGGAACAGACGTTTTAGGCACTAACACTTGTGTGGAAAACACGCAGTATGCGGGACAGCGTTCATCTGTTAAGGCTACAGCATTTAATCTTCCAGAAATAGGGGGGAATCTGTTTTACTATCGCCTTTGGATAGCGGAAATCAAATGCTTCTAATTAAAAATGACAGTCCTTTAATTAAGAGCTTACAAAGCAGAGCTGCAGGTGAATAATGCAGTGCCTGTTCCAATAACAGGGGTTAGGGACTCGTGTGGGACTTGGAGATGATCCATCTGAGTCCCTGTAACACCTCCTTGGCCTTCAGGGACTGACTGTGAGGCTGATCTCGTGGTGGCAATGAGCAAACGCAGCTCTGTGCCTCGGGGGGCCATTCACAGAAGTGTTCCATATCTTCAAATTAGGATTTGTTGGTTCTTTCTCAGCAGCAGAAGCAGCCTAACCTAAGTCAGCATCACTACTACCCCAGACTTCACAGTTTTACATTGAACAACACTGAGCACTCGCTGCAGGTATTGCCAGCACGCTCAGCAGGTGCTGTGTGTTTGGTAACAAGGTGTTTCTGTGACATACCCACAAGTAGCTGAGCCACAGAAGTGTTTCGGTGAGGGCTGCCTATGGAAAGAGACATGATAGCAGCAAACAAAAGGCATTTGAAGTATAAAATATGTACAAACCAATGCTTTGTGGTGAGAGGGTTAACTGCTTCCAATGGGTACTTTGTGTTTGATGTGCCAGAACCACAGCGTGGCCTGGGTTGCACAGGAGCACAGTGCTCATCCAGCTCCAAGCCCTGCTGTGTGCAGGTGGCCAACCAGCAGCCCAGGCTGCCCAGAGCCACATCCAGCCTGGCCTTGAATGCCTGCAGGGCTGGGGCATCCACAGCCTCCTTGGGTGCTTCTGTCACTGGCAAAATTTAATTTGACAAATCTTGTCAAAGGTGGAAATCTGTTTTTTATTTGCTGTATTGCTGGAGGGGGTGGGGGAACAAGGGCGTGAGAGGAGCAAAGCTTATCATTTCATGCCTCCCTGGGCTCTAAACTCAGGTCAGCTTTAGAAAAGTTATTTTCCATTAGTTTGTTAGCTTCTGCATTGATGCTGGCGCTTCCAGCAGGGTCTGTGGGGGTGGCATTGCCCCAGAACCCCTTCAGCCCTCCTGACCTGTCAGCACTGCACACCCAGCACTGGGCTTCACGCTGTGTGTTGCAGCTGGAGAACACAAAGCTCTCTATGAAGCATCGCTCTGGTAACTGACAAATAACTGGTGACAAGCTTTGTTAAATTTTGTATTAAAAGGTACTAATTAAGTCCTATATTCCATTATCAGGTAAGGGGAGACATTAAGGAGGGATTTCTGAGAGCAAAGCCATCTGCTAACCCAATGCTAAAGTGTCAGGTGCTGTAACTGTGGGTGCAGCCCCCAGCCCCACACGCAGCTGGGCTTTGTGGGGGTGCTCAGCTGCGTGCAGGAGCTGCCCTAAGGATGTGGCTGAAGGAAACAAGCTGAGATGTGGGAAGTCAGAAATCAGGAAGGGACTGTCACAGTGAGAGTGGTCAGGGGCTGGGACAGAGCCTGGAGAGGTGGGGGCAGCCCAGCCAGAAGGGATGCTCTGAGCGACTGCATGGGGCTCGGAGCTGCCGTGCCAGAGGGCATTTCTGGCTGAGGTGGTTCTGAACCTTGGTGGTACTGCTGGGAGATGTGGGGAGCAGCCAACAGGTGGCTTCAGTGGCAGCACTGCAGCGTTCTGCAAAGCCTAAAGGAAAAAGTGCTCAGAAAACACTTCTAAAAGAATTGAGAGCGAGCACTTTCTATTTAGGAGTGCTAAGTAGGGTCATGGGGCTGTAAGTGTGTCAATGAGGTGAACTGTAACTTTTCCCCTCAAATTTCAGTGAGCATTAGTGCTGTTCTGCCTTTTTGGTCTCTTCACGAGGTTGAAGTTACTTTGGTTGAATGCTTTTTGAGGTTAGCACTGAGAGCCTCTGCTGCACAAGAGAGGGGGTCAGAACAGGCTGGGCCTCGCTCCTTGCTCTGGTCCCTAAATCTGAGCAGTCTCTTTAGAAATGAAGACCTGGTGTTTGTATTTCAGGAGGTGGGCTTGGTGCTGTGCTGTGTCCTGCTGGCAGCGGCTGCAGCTGGTGCTGGGGATCTGCCCTAGGGATGGGATGGGGGAGGGCTCTGTCTCCCTTATCTGATAGAGGGAAAAATAAATAGGGTGAACTGCTCTTTGTAGTGCTAAAAATCTCTGTGATGACTGTTGATAAATTGTAGAAGTTGACATAGGAAATGATGTCGGTGCCAGGCGTTACCTCTGTGTGCTCGCCGAGCTGCAGTGATTGCGCTGTGCTGCCAGCCACCGCTCTGCGATTCCCGGGCTCTCACAGCCAGTCCTGCCCCGTCCAGAGGTGGGATGGTGCCAGCAGGTCAGGACTGGTTCTGGGGGGGCTGAGCACCAGGAGCAGGAGGCTATGGCCTCTGCAGGAACCAGATCTCGTTGTGTCTGTTGGCAGCAGCGGGGTTTGTGTAGCCGGCGATGATGAACGTGTCCTGCAGGCACAGCTCGGGGCTCTCCAGGATTTCCGCCAGCAGGTTTATTTCTCTCATGATTGAGTCTTCGTTGGTGATTCCTCTGAAGCTCCTGTAAAAGCAACTTCGTATCAGGTTCTTTTTTAACATCTGCATCTTTTCCAGAGCCTGGAAGCGTCGCTTTCTCTTCTAAGCCACTTGGTTGTGATTCACAAGTGACACTGACTGTGGCTGACCTCAGCCAGGTAACGCTTTTCCTTATCTCAGTACATTCAGTGATACGCTGGATGGTTTGTCCCAGCTACACAGAATGTTCTGCTTTGGGAAGCAGTGACACCGTATATTGACACGCATCACTCTCCCAGGGCAGTTGGTAGCTGTTATTTGCTGAGTGCCCTCATTTCACACAGCAGGCAGCTTTTGAAAAGTTACTGGAAGTCACGTTTGAAGTTGGTTGGCTTTAAGAATTTGGTTTGAAGAACGAAAATGTTTCTTACCTGCTATAAACAATAGTAGAAGGCCATTCTTCAATGATGATGTCGGAGTCAAAAGGATGAGGAGGCTGATCCTGCAGCACCTCGGGCAGGTAGTATGCCACCGTCACCGCCTGCCTCATCTCCGACTGAGACTCGTTGGTGTGGACGATGGTCACAATGGGGATGGTTATCCCCAGGTACAGCCCTGAGGAGACACAGATGGCTTTTAGAAAGTGCAAAAGGACGCCTGTGTGCTGTTCCTGGCTTCTGAGCTCGTAGTGAGCAATAGAAAGGGAGTACTGCTGAGAAGAAAGGTTTCCACTGCAAAGGAATTCGGTGTGATATTTCAGAAAGTGGGTTTCTGTATTCCAGATTGGAAGAGGCATTGAATTAAACCTTGTCATCTGTGTGTGGCTGTGTGTATATATGTGTGTGTGTATATACATAGAACTTCAATTTGTACATAGGTTTGCATATCTGAAATGCAGCAGTTAGTGAGCTCCCCTATCTTCACGTATGATTTGACTTAACTACTGTCCTCCATTTTGAGATAGTTGTGTTTATCTTGCATACTGCTCTTGCTGCCAGCCATGTTTTGAGTATTTGGGAACAAAGCATAGGCAGGACAGGGGTCTGCACTGTGAGTTCTTGTAGGGTTTGCTGTTGACAAACACGGTGCTTCATTTGTGTGGTGCTGCAGTAAATGAATTTGTAGCTATGAGGGTGCATATAGCAGTGATGATTGGGAGTGAGGAGTTAGCTTCTCTGTGCAGACTGAAAACAGCACTGAACTGTTCTGGAGCCAGAACAACATTTTTACAATTATTTAAGCATTAACAGGACGGGGAAAGGGAAGGTACCTGATTAAGGAGAAACTTTGGAGAGCAATGGTTTGAGTTTCTTGGAAAGAAAATGAAGGATTGACTTGACGTGTGCTAGGGCAGAACAAGGCGTTGGAGGCTGCAGTACTTTTTAATGGAGGGTAGAAAAATGAAAATCAAGGGCATGGTGCATTTGCCATCCTTGACAGTTCTTGAGTTAAAACTGGATTCTGGTTTTGGAAGATAAGCTTCAACTGCACGCATGTTTCGTGTCATGCACAATTTGAGTATCATGAGCTACAGGGCAGGCATCGCGTTCTGCCTCTTGAGCATTAAACTGTGAGCAGACAATGCCACTTCTGCTGTGAAAGCTACACCATGGCATCCTGCAGCAAAGGCCTTGGGCCTGGCTGGCAGCATACAGAGCCAGCCAGCATCAGTGCCACGCAGCCTTGGAGGGCTGGTCTCCTTCAGGTGCTCTCTAATAGCAGGTGTGCTGGGGGAGCTGCCTGGCTGATGTTGTGCTGGAAAGGCTGCATGGCATGAAAATGTCCATTGACTGGGGTGGTCTGCTTGGGAAAAGGAAAATAACAAATATCCGTCTAACTGGGAGGAGCCAATGCACACCCGTTGCTGCTTTTACTCTAATGCAGAATTGTGGTACCATACCTGAGGAGTTCTGCTCACAGATGTACCTCATGAGCTTCATGAAGCCCAGGCAGATGCTCTGCTCGTACTGCTTCTCCTTCATCTTTATGCAGGCCCACTTGGCCTTCCCATACTGACGCTTTTCGTACAGCAGGTCTCCGAGCTGCAGGCACAGGAGGATCATAGTTTTGTATTTCAAGTTCACTAATTTAAAAACCCACAAGCAAGCAGAAGTCATAAAGTCATACATTACTCAGTAGCTTGACATGAAGAAATGCTGTTCTTTAGAGAACAGCAAGCACAAGGAACGATTGGAAAGGCTGGTGCTGGCTGTGCCTTGGGCACGCTGTGTGCTTTGAGGCCCAGGCTGGCACGCAGCAGGCAGGCTCTCAGAACCTGCACAGTGTTTGCATCTCACCTGAGAGCAGGAAGAGCTGCATCTTTTTCTGTCACTTTTTCTATCACTGAAATGGTCATGCAAACTTCAGTCCTTGCTCATATCGGCCAGGAAGGGTTGCAGCAATGAGCATGGACAGGGATCTCTTGGCAGACTCACAGGTGGCTCTTCTTTAAAGAAACTGCCATCTCAAGAGCTTGTGATGCTGAGTATTTATTTATTGCAGCAGCACTGAGACATTGCTTTGAGCATTGCATTGCAGTGTAAATGCAAAGTGTAAGTTGTAAGATTAATGCAAGCTGCAATGGGAGTCCTGAACCGGTTAAAAGAAATACAGTCAAGTGGTGATATTTATAAACTCCAATTATATGGCTCTGTTTAAAGTAAACGTGACAGGAAACCTTCATAAGTGATAAGGAGAGGTTTGTTGATTTGCCATTTGCCCAACTTGCTGGGCATCACCTTGAAGGTTTTACTACATAAGAGGTGGCTGTGGGATATGGATTTGCAAATTAATGTTCTCTTTGATAATGGCCCGTGACACAGAACTCCCAACTTTTGTTTCCAGTTCCAACCTCTGCTGATGTTTCATTACCATGATTGTAAAGAAGCAAGTGCATTTTTTAGATGGAGGAAATGGTTTGTTTCAAGTCTCAAAATAGGAGGTTTTTTTGTTAAATTAGTTCTAAAACGTCACAAGGACTGTGATAGCTGTCTGTGTTCTGACATTCCTCTGATTTCCAGCTAATAAAAATAGGAAAGTTTGCCCATGCTTGAAAAAATGGCGACAGGTTACAAATGAAATGCAGTTGTGTGAGTGTAACGCTTTGCACCTACAATGCCAAAAATCCTGAGTAGGTAACTTAACTTGATAAAGGAACACAGCTTTCAAATCTCGGTTTGGATACTGCCAAGTCTGTTAGCAAGGGGGCTGGGAGGGGCTGGGTACCTTTTCCTTGCGCTGGATGAGGGTGAATGGGATGCTCTGCCTCTCCTGGGGGCTGTTGTTCCGGGTCAGCTGCTGGATGGGCTCTGCCATATCTGCAACAAAAGACAGCATTCCCAGTTTTAGATTGAAGCTGCAGAGACAGCAGTGGAACGCTTCACGCTGCTTTCTGTCGGTTGAATGGGAGCAGACTCAGTGCTTTCGTATCACCAGGTGCAGTCAGCAGCTCTGGTCTGTGTGCTGCACGTTACAGCTGTGTCTCCTGGGGGGTTTGGCAGTGCCCACTTGGCTCTGTGCAGATGGTGCTGCCCATCCTGGCAAATCCTTCAGCGCTGGATGTGTTCACGTGAGAAAGTAAATTGTGTCAGCAGCTCTTGTTTGCAAATGCAAGGTATTTGTAATGCAAGCTCTGCTGTTAAGGCTGCACAGCTGGGAGGGTTTGGATGCTGAGGCACTGCACAGCGTGTCCAGAGAGGTGCTGGTGTCCCAGCCCAGAGACAGCAGAGGTCAGGGGATGGGCTGTGAGCACTGATGGGGCTGTGGGTGTCCCTGTGCACTGCAGGGAGTGGGACCAGAGGGCTTTAAAGGGTCCCTTCCAACTCAAACCATTCTGTGATCTGTACATCAGCAGAGAGCACCAAGGTGTACAGTGGGAGTAAAGGATGCTGAGAGCAGCCCATGAGGTGGGGCAGGTGGGATGGGAGACCTTCGACCCCATCACAGCTGTGCTCAGGATGCAGTGATGGAGAACAGGCAGCAGACAGAAGTTAGCATAGAAAATTCTGACTGTGTATGTGAAGAAAAACACAGTGCCTGTGATCAAACCCAGTGTGCTGGGTACGTTAAGGAACCCCTGCCCTTGGGAAATTGCAGAGATGGATGACTCTTAATGTAAGATGTTTGTTTCTTTAACAGCACCAAAACCACAGATAAGAGAGAAGAAAAGTGTCCTGTTAAATTAAAGAAATAAGAGCAAAATTGAAATTCCTCAGTGCATGCTTCGCTGAAGAAATGCGTCTTCTCAAGATGTGATTGTTTAACAAAGGAACTAGAATAGAACTTTTTTGTGCACATGTTAGTTTGAGGCTATTTCTTTTTGGTGCATAATAGTTTTATCATAGAATCATTCAGGTTGGAAAAGATCACTGAGATCATCAAATCCACCCGGCAGCCCACCACTGTCTGTGGCTGGATGCTGAGGACTTCAGGTGGGGGCTGTGAGAGGCCTGGAAGGGGCAGGGGGCTGCTGGTGGAAGCCAGCAGTGATGTGGATGTTCCAGCAAAGTGAAGCCAACGGCAAGGTGGGAGTAGAGCAAAGCAGCTGTATTAATCATTATATTCCCAGCTAAGCTCACACGGTCAGTATCTGTACTCACATGTGAAATACCAGCACATCCCTGTGCTTCTGTGGGTTTTGCAGTTTAAATATGGCTGGGGTGAATGTATTTGTGTTTGCTTCTGGCTGCAGTTGGTAAATAGGCTTTGGCCAGCCCTCACAGGCAGCTTCAGCAGCTCAGCCGCAGGGTTGTGCCTGGCGACGCAGAGCCTCTCTGCCAAAGGAGCTGCTCCCTTGTTTCTCCAAGCTGGGCTGATACGAGCATTTGTGCACTTGGGTAGGGGTTAAGAAACTTGTTTTTCCTGTACAGTGATTGAAAACATGTCTGTGAGTTTCTGCCATACGTCCCCATGGTGTCAGACACGGGTGTGCAAAGGACTAGAAGTTTCAACTGAAGATCCCTTTTCTGTGTCCCGAGTGCCCCAGTGCCTTCAGCAGGGAGGCAGGGTGCTGGGGGCACAGAGCTGCAGAGAGGAGAGGGTTAAAGTGCAGAGGGATTAACTGGGCCTGTGTCACTCAGTAAATCTGGAGCTGAGCTGGGAATCAAACCTGCATCTCCTGGCACTCAGTGTGGGGCTCTACTGCCGTTTGGAGCAGTAAAGATCCTATTAATAAGGAGCAGAAAGATACACTTTAGCTTATTTTAAACCTGTTTTCGTAAATGTCATTGAGAAATAAATTTAAAATGCAAGTAATGACATTTAAAATTGACCTCCTTGGATGCTGAGGGAAAAAATAGCACATTATGCTTCAGCTCTGGATTTGCAGAGTGGCAAATTAGAAGATCTTTTAAGGCCCTGGAAACCTTAACTCTATGTCTGATTCTTTCACTGACAAATGTGATCAGATTCTTTTCTGCATGTTAACACACGGGGTAACAGTTACAACCAATGGAAGTCCCTTCAGTTTTACTCTTCACTCCACAAATCCGTGCCCACCAGCACAGCAGCACGATGTGCACTGTGAATACTCAGCCCTGCACAGCACTCAGCTTTCATGGCTCAAAGCAAGGGAGTTGTTTCACATACAGATGCTCTCTCAGTCCAGGCTTGGGAACCTGAATCCTGGTGTGACAAAATGAGGCGAGGTGATAACGAGTTGTAACAGTGCACCTGGGTAAGGGCTTGGTTTAATTACATTTTAAAATTGTAAATTATGGTTATGAAATAATTGTATCCCAACCTATGGGTAGGTTTGTGAAAGAGGCTAATCTTACAAAAGGGCTTTCTGTAGATGATGCACGCTTGACAGCAGCCTCTTCCTTCCATCCTTCCCCCCATGGCTCCTTCCCTGCATGCCCAGCAGTCACATATCTGCACAGATGTGCTACTGCCCATGTGACATAACCTCAGCACGGGGAGTGTATTGGAACTGATGGAAAATCACGTGCAAGTCAATATCTGAAGCTTGATCTGGAGCCAGGGTGCTCAATTCAGAACATGCTGCTTTGTATGCTGCGGATCTTTAGATAGCCTGACACTACAGCAAGTGGATGTTTTCCATGCTTAACAGCTCTCTTGTTAATCTTGTGTTGAAGTTATAATTGAGAAACGTGAAGGAACTGCTGCAGCATGTTTTCTGCTTCTGCTGGGAGTGGATAACATAGAGTTCTCAAGCCAAGAAAGCCGTATTGCATCATCCTACACCTGTACTTTCCTTTTTGGCTGCAAGGTTTGGCACAGGCTCATCAGTCTCACTGCATGATTACTGTGGTCTTGCTAACAGTGACAAATTGGTATGTCAGTCCTATAAGCCTGTGTTCAAATCTCACGATGTCTGTAGGAGGGTGATGCTGCTCTGTAACCCTTACAAGGTACTAACAGAAGCTACTAGCAAGATATCTTTCTTCAAGGCGTGCTGCCACCATGCAGCAAGGTGCCAAGCTTGCACAGCCCAGAACTGTGGACAGGAGCAGTTCTGCTCTTATTTCACAGACTTTACCACTAGGCTACAGTAAGCATATGCTCTGCTGTTAAGATTGCAGTGCCCTGGCTGCACAGCTACCACTGTGGCAGCAAATAAATCCCACATTTGTGTGCACTGCAGCATCAGCTGCAATGGGTAGAGCGGTGGGTTTCTCTTCACAGAGAGTCATCCATGTTTCCTCTGGGACTCCTGAGGCTGGGGATGCTCTAGTTGACTGCATGCTGCCCTAGGGGATAACAGTTCCCCTGTACTCAGAATGGAGCATGCAAGCTAATCTGACAGGCTCTTTCTGCTAGGTAAGGTGCAGCCCTCTCTGACAGCTCCAGGCAGGACCTGAAGGAAGCCCTCTCCCGATGTTTGTAATACCTGCTTCACATTATGAAGCAAACCTCTTCTGTTGTAGTAACCAAAATGTGGCAACATACTACTTTGGCATGTGCACCACTTTTGACTTTTTATAAGGGCAGGTAGCAGCAGGATGAGAGGAAATAGCTTTAAATTGGAAGAGGGTAGATTTAGACCAGATATCAGGAAAGAATTAGTTACTGTGAGGGCGATGTGACACTGGAACAGGTTGCACAGCGAGGCTGTGGATGCCCCTCCATGGAAGCACTGAAGGCCAGGCTGGATGGGGCTGTGAGCAACCTGGGCTATGGGAGGTGGCCCTGCCTGCAGCAGGGGCTGGAGCTAGATGACCTTAAAGGTCCCCTCCAACCCAAACCATTCTGTGATGCTCAGCTTGCTATCCTAAGGTCTCCACAGCGAGTACTGGAGCCCAGGGCTGCCCTGCTGGTGCTGTGCATTCACAGCTGTCAGCCAGGCTCGAGGTGTTCTGGTACCCAAGGAGCCATCAGTTCTCCTTCTTAAGGCATCAGAAATGTAACGTGGAATTTCTGGGAATTACTTGAAAAGGGAGAAAGTGAGCTTGTGCCCTTTGTCCGTGCTGGAGTGAAGGAGCGTCAATAGGTCCATTTCAGCAGAACTTAAGGCAGTCTCTTTGGGGCTTGCTGCCTCCCCCCTCTTTGAAGGCTGTTTAGGAGCCCAGCAGCAGTGCTGAGGATCCCTGCTCAGCGTTACACCGCAAAAGGCGGCTTGTGGTCGCTGAGCTGTGCTATTTGCTACAGCTTCTCTGATTTTTCTATGCTCAACGTGGAAAATACAGAACTTTTCATTGGGGCAAACCTGGCAGCTTGTTGTCAAAAAGCAAATTTAAGCCTCTAGTTTACTGAAAGCTGGCACTGAAAGATGGCTTGCGTTTAAGAACAGACGGCCTACTCAGCTCGCCCCACTGAGGCGCGTTCCTACAACATCATAGCATCACTGGCGCCGGCCCTTCCAACCGAACGGTTCAACCATTCTGTAGCTCGGAGGCGGCCGACTGAACTTTTAACCAAGGCCGTCGGCCCCCATCGGCTCCAGTGAGCGGAAACGGGTCGACCCCCGGCAGCTCGGAAGGCGAACGACGGCAGAGCCGCCCGCGCCCCCCGCCCCGCGCTCGGCCGGCTTACCGCGGGGCACGTCCACCTGGTGCCCCCTGCCCACGCTCTGCCAGTAGTTCAGCAGCCGCTCCTGCTCCTCGTCGTCCATGCGCTCGGCCCCCTCCTCCTCCAGGCTGCTGCCGTGGCTGTGGTACGCCGAGTCGGCGCTCTCCTCCGCCACGCCGTCCAGATCCTCCAGCGTGATGGCGGCCGGGCCGCTCGGCTCCGCGCCGCTCATGCGGCAGCCGCCCGTCTCCATCGTGCCGTGCCGCGCCGTGTGTGCGGAGCCGCTTTATGAAGGGCTCGGAGGGGGCGGGAGCGAGGGGCGGGCACGGGGCCGGCAGGTGTGCGTGCGTGTGAGCGTGCGTGTTTTACACACCTGTCTGCAGCTGCCTTTCTGCCTTGCCTGCTGCTGCCAGCTCCCAGCCGTGCAGCTGTCAGGGTGTTTGCGTTTCGTGTGCTTTCAGGTATTAAGGAAGGTTCGCCTTCCCAGCTCCGCTCCTTTCCCATCTCCCTTTCCTTGCTTCTTTGCTTCTTTCTTTTTTCCCAGCTCCTTTTCCTTCCGCTCTTTTTCTTTTTGCTTCTCTCCTTTCGCAGCTCTTTTCCATTTCCAGCTCCTTTATCTCTCCTGTCTGCTTTTCTTTCCCTTCCCAACTCCTTTCCTTTCCCTGCTCCCTTTCTTTCCTGGCACATCCATCATTTTTTTCAGGAGTTCCTGCAATGTTATTGGAAGCTGGTTGCACCCAAAATCTGGGAGTCATTTTGTGCTTGAATATCCACCTTTGGGATTTGATGGCTATATCACATTATGGAAAGGAAAAGGCACGCAGCTCCCCGGAATGTGGGAGGGCTGTCCCAGAGCTGGACCTGACTGTGGGCTGTGCAGAGCGTGCAGCCCTGCTTGTAGCTGCCTGTCCGTGGTTCCCAACACCACTGGAATATGAGTTGCACTCCCTTTGTCTCAGGCAGGAAAGAGAAGCCATGGACCTTTCACTTTTCTTTAAGGAAAGGAATCTCTCCCATACGCTGCTGAGATGCCTGTAGGGGAAGGAGAACGTGGGTTGGGAATGAAGCTGTTGTCTGTGAGATGTGACACTTAATTCTCCCTCCCGGGCTCCATTCTCTGATCCAACAAAGTATTAGTTGCCTTAGGAGCAGGAGTTCGCTGGTGGTAATGGCACAGAACAGACTGAAGTCAGTTCTGTGATGTGTTCCTTCTGCCAGCCAAAGGTGGCAAGCCAAGGTAGGTTGTCTCTTGACAGCCTTGCTTGGTGATGTGATTTCATGGTCAGCTCCTGATGTGCTGAATCACGGGATTCGTGGAGCACATGCTGACGGGAGCGGAGCTGTGGGTGTTATCAGGCTTCGTTCATCAAGCTGTTCCTATGTGGGGCAGCTGCTTGGCTGCAGGTGGGTCTCATGAAACAAGTCACTGTATGAATGCATCCACATCACAGGTAACGTCTTGAACAGTGCTTCAGTGCAGTACGAGCACCTCCTTCACTTGTGAGGATTGGGAATTTCTGCATGGTTGGGCAAGTTGAATTACTACAATTTAATTGTGGCACCTCAGATGGCTCCCAGCTGGTCAGTGCTCTGGAGATGGGCTGACTTCTGGGCTCAGTGTGCAGAGGCTCCTCCTCAGCCTGCAGAAGTGATTCTGATGCTTTGTAACAGAAAACTATTCCAACCCTTGTTCTGGCATCGTTTGGAGGGTAAGTGGCTGCTCCAAGAGAGAGGCTAGCAGGAATTTCAGATCCTCCTTCGAAGATCTGCTCTTTGTTTATTTCATTTGGTTTTATTTTGTGATGTGCCTGGTAATTTTGTACAAGAGTGCTGAAGATGTGCCATGGTCTGCGTCTGGTGCTGTTAGGACTGTTAGCATAGGACTATTCCTAGAGCTGAACAAAGCTGATTTTTATTTTTTTTTTTTTGCTTATTTTTTCCTGCAACTTACTGATGTTGTGTGTAGCTGCTGGATCTTGGTGGTTTTGTTAGTGCTGCATTCCTGATGTTTTCCTGAGGGTTATTTCTCTGTATATACAAGAAGAACAAATATTCAGCCTTGCAGATTGAGGATACAATGCATTCTGTTATGTGCAAAGAGATGCCATTTACTGAACTACAGATCAGTATAGAAATACCATTTCTTTTTTATAACCTCTCAAGTAACAGAGGAAAAATATTCTCAGTGAAATTACTTGAAAAGTACAAACTGTAGGCCTTTTTTATAAGTGAAATACGCTGTAATAGAAGATTGTGCCAGCAGTGTGCACTTGCAGTCTGGAAGGCCAGCTGCACTCTGGGCTGCACCGACAGAGGGGCTGTCCTCCTCTGCTCTGCCTTTGTGAGGCCATGCCTGCAGTGCTGCATCCAGACCTGGGACCAGCACAGAGAGATGTGGGGCTGCTGGAGTGGGTCCAGAGGGTGCTCAGAGCACCTCTCCTATGGAGAAACGCTGAGAGCTGGGGGTGTTCAGCCTGGAGAGGAGAAGGCTCTCAGGAGACCCCATGGCAGCTTTCCAATATTAAAAGGGAGACTAAAGGAGAGAAGTCAACTTTTTACATGGGCAGACAGCGGTAGGACAAAGGGGAAAGGTTTTACACTAAAGGAAGGGAGATTGAGAGTAGATGTCAGTGGAGGTTTTCACTGAGAGGATGGTGAGGAGCTGTGGATGCCGTCCCTGGAGATGTTCAAGGCCTGGTTGGATGGGCCCTGGGCAATGTGATCTGGTCCTGGACCTGGTGGCTGGCAACGCTGCACACGGCCGTGGGGTTGGAGCTTGATGATCCTTGAGGTCCCTTCCAACCCAAGCTGTTCTGTGATTTTATGAATTAGCATCAATGTGACAAAGAAACTTTGAGAGGAATAAAGATGGTTTGTCTGTTGATTGGTACTGGTTTTAGAGAATCAGAAGATCATCTTAAAAGCACCGTTCCCTTCTGTGTCCCTGTTTCTGTATTTCTGCTTCAAGGGAGATAGGAATCTGTCAGCACAAAGCTTACATGTAACAGCACTCTTCTGGCTTACAGTTAGAGTCTACTGGTTGTTTGTCACAGCTCTGAGATACACGGAGAGTAACTCAAACTGAGCACCAGCTCCTGTGCCTTCCTCAGCCATCTTCTGTTGCAGCTCCACACCTTTTTATGTTAATAATTGTCCTCCTCTTCGTTGACGTGCTGTATTTATGATCTGAGAGGTTTCCCCAGACATGCCAATGAGCTGTTTGTTCTCCTGTGTACAGGGAGTGCAGGGCTCTCTGCAGCTGGTGAGCAGTGTGTGAGCTGCTCCATCCCTCTGTGTCTCCCCCCACGGGGCTCTGTGCTGCTGGTGTCCCTGGGCTCTTCCACTTGAAGCTGAGTTACAGTTTGCACAGGTGGTGCAAATGGTGCACAGTTCCTGCTGGAACTTTTAGGGGATGTTAGGGTTACCCCTCCCAAGGCATCACACTTTGTTAAACACAGCCCTTTTTATTTCCTAAAACAAAGCAATGAATGCTCCAGATCTCAGCAGCGGGGAATGTGGTCACTGAGGACAAGGAGAAGGCTGAGGTCCTCAATGCCTTCTTTACATCTGCCTTAAACAGCCAGACCAGTTATCCTCTGGGCTTTTTATGCCCTGATCTGGAAGTCTGGTACACTGCACAGAATTTGCCCCCAGCGATTCCGTGGCGACAGTCAGAGAGCTCCTCCTCCATCTGGACTGTCACAAGTCCATGGGACCGGATGGGCTGCACCCCATGGCGGGGCTGATTGCCGAGCCCCTCTCAGCCATCTATCAGTGCTCCTGGTTAACTGGTGAAGTCCCAGAGGATTGGAGGCTTGCTGATGTGACTCCCATCTTCAAGAAGGGCTGTAAGGAGGATCCGAGGAGCTATAGGCCTGTCAGCCTGACCTTGGTACCAGGGAAGGTTATGGAGCAAATCATCTTGGATGAGATTGCACGGCATGTACGCAGTATCCAGGGGATCAGGCCCAGCCAGCAGGGTTCGTGAAAGGCAGGTTGTGCTTGACTAACCTCATCTCCTTCTATGACTGGGTGACCAGTCTGGTAGATGAGGGAAGGGCTGCTGATGTCTTCCTAGACTTCAGCACAGCCTTTGGCATGATCTCTCACGGGCTGCTTCTGGGGAAACTGGCTGCCTGTGACCTGGACAGGTCTGCCCTTCTTTGGGTAAGGAACTGGCTGAGGGCCGTGCCCAGCGGGTCGCGGTGAATGGAGTGAAGTCCAGCTGTGACCCGTTTCAAGTGGTGTCCCCCAGGGGTCGGTACTGGGGCCCATCTTATTTAATATCTTTATTGATGACCTAGATGAGGGCATTGAGTGTATCCTCAGCAAGTTTGCAGGTGACACCAAGCTGGGAGGTGGTGTGGATCTGCCTGAGGGCAGGGAGGCCCTGCAGAGGGATCTGGATCAGCTGGATGGCTGGGCTGAGGTGAATGGGATGAGGTTCAACAAGGCCAGGTGTTGGGTCCTGCACTTTGGGCACAACAACCCCATGCAGCGCTATGGGCTTGGGGATGAGTGGCTGGATGAGTGTGGAGAAGAGGAGCTGGGGGTGTTGGTTGATGCTCGGCTGAACATGAGCCCACAGTGTGCCCAGGTGGCCAAGAGGGCCAACGGCATCCTGGCCTGCATTAGAAATGGTGTGGCCAGCAGGAGCAGGGAGGTGAGCATCCCCTGCACTCAGCTCTGGTGAGGCCGCACTTCGAGTGCTGTGTTCAGTTTTGAGCCCCTCACTGCAGGAAAGACCTTGAGGCCCTGGAGTGTCTGCAGAGAAGGGCAACGAAATGGGGAGGGGTCTGGAGCACAGGGCTGATGAGGAGCGGCTGAGGGAGCTGGGATTGTTCAGCGTGGAGAAGAGGAGCTCAGGGGAGACCTGACTGCACTCTGCAACCTCCTGAAGGGAGGCTGTGGTGGAGAGGGGTTTGGCCTCTTCTCCCGGGCAACGAGCAGGACAAGGGGTAATGGCTGCAAGTTGTATCAGAGGAGGTTTAGATTAGACATGATGAAGAACTTTTTCTCTCAGAGAGTGGTCAGGCACTGCAATGGCTGCCCAGGGAGGTGGTGGAGTCACAGTCCCTGGCAGTGTTCAAGAGGCGTCTGGACGACGTGCTGCGTGATGTGGTTTAGTGCTGGTGGTGGCAGTGGTGATGAGGAGACGGTTGGACTGGATGATCTTTTAGGTCATTTCCATTGATTCTATGTGATTCTAGGTGATCTTATATGATATTGGAAGACCCCTGTTGCCTTCACGCCTTCC